ACACACACATAAGCCTGTGTCATAAAATATCATTTATGAGCTACAGAAAGTAATCAGCAACTATAAGAACAGGAGGAAACTGATGTTTTTCTAATAACTGAAAACTTGCATATACTTCAAAGTATGTCCATTGATGTCATTATATTACTAGAATTTTTATTAAGGTTTTGTGGTAGTTTGAATGAAAAAAGCCCCATAGGCTCATAGGAACTGGCATTATTTGAAGTGTGGCCTTTTGTGGTAAGTTGTCACTAATGGTGGGTTTCGAGGTCTCAGTAGCTCAAGCCAAGCCTCGTGGTACAATCTTCACTTACTTCTGCCTGCTGATCTGGGCGTAGAACTCTCAGCTACTTCTCCAGCCCCATGTCTGTCTGCATGCTGCCATGATTCCTGCCATGATGATAATGGACCATAACTCTGACATGTAAGCCATCCCCAAATAATTTTTTCCTTTGTAAGAGTTGCCAGGGTCATAGTTTCTCTTCACAGCATTAAAAGCCCTAACTAAGACAGTTTTAAGACTCTAAAACAATATTACAAAATTCAGAACTGTCATTATTTGATCAACTAAAATGTATGTAGTTTTTATAATAATTATCATTGTTTACTACTGATATTCTAAAGACAAATATACATGTCAGGTAATATAAATTCATATTTATGTGATTATATTAATAGACATCTTAAGATACTTATATAAGTCTGCTTCCCTTTATGGTTCTTGTACCTTTCAGGATGGAACTCCTCAGGATCTGGCCAGTATTTTGGATTTTGGTGAAGAACAAAGATAGGTATGACCACCACTGTTCCTTTGGGAATGAACACACCATTGATTTCAGCATCTTCCTTACTGAGTCTGTTAATCCTGCCAATAACTGGATATAATCTCATAGTTTCATTCACCACCATGTCTAGATATTCCATCTCAACCAGAGCTTCATAAGTGGCAGGTACCTGGTAAGATTAAGAAAAAGATTCTGCTGATTTGAGATTCAAAACTAACTTTCATGTCAATCTATTCAGAACTATTAAGGTTTTAGGAACTCAACTTCAACCCAAGTTAATGATTGGATTTACCGTTGATAAGTCCTATTCACCAGAGTCATGTGTGTTAACATACTAAAGATCCACTGAAACACATGGTGAAATGAACATGGAAGAACATTCACATAAGCTTACATTTAGGTCCCAAAGCTTCAGATTTCCTTTGTACTGTTTTCCTTTTAAGTAGTAATGAATGGCATATCATGTCAATCTCATTCAACATAAATCAGCTGTTGAGGTTGTCAAAACTTAATATAGGGAGGCCACATGTCCAGACCGAGGAAATATAATGTGGGGAACATTAAATTCCTTTTTAAAATTCCATATCAATCCTTTCAGAGGACAACTCACAGTGTTTAAATCCTATGACTAAATTTAATATTACTATAGATGTTCAATTTGAAGATCAATGCTAAATTAAACAGGAATAGTATATGAACTTACAGTGACTAACTTCAGTAGGATCTTTTCCCTTTGACACTTATTATGGTAAAATAGTGTGAATATGGAGATGAATTGAGCAAAATCTTTATGTTTTAGTGAGAGGTCCATTCAGCTCCATGCTCAGTTTCTGAAAGAAACATTCTCTTGTACTGCATATGCTGTTCAAATAAATCTTTAACTTTCAACATCACAGGCTAGAGTCACCTGAGAAAGAAGTCTAAATGGAAAGATTAGGGATTGCTACTTTACATTGGTTTGTGCATATATCTGGGAGTATCCCTGACTATTCATTAATGTAGCAGGGTCCAGCCATTTGTAGATAGTACTATTTCCTGAGTGAATGACCTTGGGATGCATGAAAACATCTAGATAAGGATAGGTCAGTGAATGGGCCAGTTATCAGCCAGCATCCTCCATAGTCCCTGCTGTGCTTCTTTGGCTGTGAGTGCGTACCTTGGTCAAAAGCAGTGCTGTGTAGAGTTGCATGCAATCCTGCCTACAAGTTCCTGTCTTGAGTTCCTTCATTGACTTTCCTCAGTGATAAGACTGTTATGTGAACATGTACACTGAAGTAAATTCTTTCCTCCCCATAGTTATTTTGGGTGATAGCATTTGTCACATTGACAGAATGAAACAGAAAGACAGAGTATGAGGACTGAAGATGCTTTGCTTGTATCTCATTGACAACCCAGCAAGTCCCAGATTTCAGGTATCTCACACCACATTATATCCAGTTTTGGTTGTAGATGATAAGATAGCTTATATAATGTGTTGTCTCACATTGTGGGACACTGATATCACCATAATATACAAGTAAATATTTAAGTTAGAAGCTGCCATGATGTGATTTCTTTGAGTCTAATAATGTGATTAGAGAGAGCAGTAAAGAGAAGAACAGCTGAATCAGCCTGCCTAGCCAAAACCAGGTGATTCTCCATTGATAACAGTCATGCCAAAGCATTGCCAGTAATAATAATACAGCTGTCAGGTCAATTGTTTAAATTCTAGGGGGAAGCCTCAGTGGTTAAGAGCACTGTTTGCTCTTGCAGAGGTCCCAAGGACAGTTCCCAGTACCAATATGGTGAGCACATTTCATGGAAGTCTAACTACAGGGAATCTGAGGCCCTCTTCTGGCTTCCTTATGTTTCAGATATGCACATGGTACACATATATACATGCAGGCAAAAAAAACCCATTTAAGTTTAAAGAAGACACTTGGCTGATATTTGCTTATCCTTAAATATCTAAAGAGATTTTATGCATGTTTATGGACTGTGTCATTGTAGTTAGAGAGAATGTTTATTACAGGGTTAGTACAGAATTGCTGAGGTTAGTTTTTCTCTACACATAATTTTTTCTTTGTTTTAGATTTGCATAAGTTATTGCTGAAAGAATCATTTCTTACTATATTTACTATAATTCTAAATGCAAGTGTGGAAGTAGTGTTTCTTGTTGAGGTTTGATATTTTTTCTGTGGCTCTCAGCATCATCTACTCACCTTATTGGGCAGGACTGCATCAATCTCTTGCTGCAGTTTCTTCTGAACATTGGGGTGAATTGCCAGTAAATATGCAATAAAGGAAAGAGCAGTGCTTGTTGTGTCATAGCCAGCAAAAATAAATGTGATTGATTGGGCCAGGATCTCCAGATCAGAAAGAGCTGAAATGAGATATGACATTTTATGTTAATGATCAAAGCTGGTGCCTACACAGAGCCTTCACCTGCTTTGATCTACAATATTTGACACAGAAAGGTACACTGCACTTTATATACAATGGTGTACTGCCTGCAAAATATGAAAGGGCAATGGTGGCACAATACGTGTGGGAATAACTAACCAATAAGTGATTTGACTTATGACCTACTCCATGAGATGGAACCAAGACTTGGAACTGCTTAGGTGACCTGGAACCTGAGACTAGATATCCCAGAGGCCAAAGGCAAAGCCAAATAATGCTTGTGTAAAAAGGTAGAGATAAAATGACTCCTAATGATATTCTGCTGTAATTATAGATAAGTGCCTTGCTCAGCTATCATCAGAGAAGCTTCCTCCAGGATCATATAAGAAAAAATATCCAGAACCACAATGATGTATTTGGCAGAGAGTGAGAGCCTTTGAAATATTCAGTCCTAAATGGGATTTCTCCACCAAATCCCTCTCCTCAGATCCAAGAGACACCCACAGAGGAGTCAGGAAGAAAGTAGTAGACAGTTGGGTTAAGAATACCAAAAATACCAAGAATGCAGGCACTCCAAATCAACACGATGAAATGTCATATGAACTCACAGAGACTGAGAAAGCATGCATAAGGTCTGCATGGGTCTCTATAAGGTCCTCTGTGTATATATTGTGGCTCCCAGTTCAGTACTTTTATGGGATTTCTGAGTGTGCAAAAGAATGGGTCTCTGATTCTTGTATTTTCTTCACCTAACATTGATATGTTAGTTTGTGTTTTATCATTTTAAATTTTATTTTTTCACATTAAAAAAATGAATGATCAAATGAAAACCTGTCCAATGGGAAAAATGTTAACAACTATATCCTTTATTTGTGTTGGGAGATGGAAAATGAGTTTTTTCCAAGTGGAGTAGCACACAGAATATCAACCACTCCAGGACAGACCTCATGTTCAAGCGTGGTTTCCCATCATATTAATGAACTCCACAGTGTGTGTGTGTGTGTGTGTGTGTGTGTGTGTGTGTGTGTGTGTGTGTGT